AAAGGAGCAACTCATAAGTTGTGTTTCGCCATTGGACTGTATAAACAAAAGCGGACCCTTGGCCTTAATTCAAACGTCAACAATGCACACCCGTTAATTGATGCGAGACGCATTCATTCTTAAGCCGTAATTTAAGGTGCACCGTTTATGTTGCAAATATATTGTTAAATATTTCAGCTGAATATAAATTCGCATCAATTGCAGAGGAATTAAGTTTGCTTGCCTTTGCTACAATAATTGGTTGTTCAATTGTTTAATATATATAGTATCTCCAACTGTAGAATAGAATCGACCGATCTAAACAAATAAATTTAGCTTTTATTATTTAGCACGTTTGCAAATGGTATGAAATTATGGAATAATTTTAGTTAATTCACATTTCAGCGCGCAGCAGGCGATCGTTGCTAGGTTTGGGTCTTATGAACATTATAAAATAATAAATGTACCAGCAAGATACACCCTGGGCATCTATGAACATGGCTTGAGGTCCTCTCGGGTACAAGAAAGGAATATAAACTTTATATAAACAGAAATCACTTTATTAAACTGTGACAATGCATCTGCAACCCTACGGGTTGTCGCAAATATTCATGGGCGTCGCTTTTCACTTAACATCATGAGCCCTCAGCTCCCTTGCCATCTTCACATAAAATTTAACTATGTTAGGGCCACGTAGTCGTCCGGGTAAGTAACACGACCTTACAGAAGACCGTCGTGAAGTGGAAGTATAATACTTTCGCGTTTCTTCTGGTGAGTGGTAACCGGCGGCTATCAATTAACATCAGGGGAACCGCCAGCTCTTTTAACATAAAAAATAAACAGATAACACATCATTTGCAACAGGACCAAGTTTGAGTCTAGATTCAAGCAAAACACTGCGTTCACGCTCCAACGCATTCGAGACAGTGCAGTCTTTTGTACCGGTAACCAATCCCCTTCGGTAACCGCAATGGACGCGCTTCATGGTTTCCTCGACCTTAAATACACCGTTCCGTTATGAATGTTATTCCGATATATGTAGAAAAGGGACTGCCATAGCGTTTTGCATCGTTGTTTTCTTCACGAGTATACACCGTACATACATCATATAGAGCAAGGATGAGCAGCCCCTTGCGGCCCCTTAAACATCTTTATGAGGCCCGCCGAAGCATTTCTAAAATTAAATTTATTATATCGAATTTCTCCCGTCAATATATTGTTATAAAATTAATTATAATAAAATGGTAGTACATACTGAACCGAAATATATTTTGTTCGTTTTTCTGTTCTTTTCTTGTGTGTTTTTACCTTGCATTAAAATTTGTATATGAAATCTTTACTTTATTTAATTTTTTATTTTTTTATTCTAATATTTATTATAAATAAAGTTTCGTAAATTATTATGTGCGGTCCGCCAAAAAAATTTGAAATTTAAATTGGCCCATTGATTAAAAAGCTTGCTCACCCCTGATACAGAGCATAGATAAATGATGATGTTTAGATGCAAACGCTAGTTTTCTCGGGCCTTGCAACGGTGGACGAATTTGTGTGGTATTTGGTATATGTTTTAATATTATTAGAACGTTTATGTGATGCGTGAGTATTAATGGCAGCACGAATACCTCCCCGCTATCACGTCGATCTTACAGTTGATCCGGCATTATGTTTCAAAATTAAAACGTAACGGCATATCTTATAGCTATGTCGTGCAAACCTTCAACTCTGTACATGGTACTACTATACATCGGAAGGAATGATATCGAAACATCAGTGTGTTCTTAATTCGCTAAATAAATTGTTTATGCCCTGTTCTCATTAAAAAACGAGCAATAAACATTAATGACTAACCAACTTCGTAGAAATAGCTCCAGTAAGTTTGTAATGATTATTCAGAGGAAGCTTAACTCTTTTGATTTAAATATGGTGGCCATTACGAGTATATTTTATTTTTCTTTGCTATTTTCAATAATACCTCTTATGTATGTACGATAACATTATATTTAACTAACTGTAAGGTTATCAATATATTGCAGAAGACATTACAATACACAAAATTAGCACATTTAAATCTGAAACTATTTGTAGATAATATACATTAAAAGCTAATTATGGCTAAGGTTAAGTACTGAGAAAACCATGTCATATACTTGTCTCTATATTCGTTTAAACTTAACAGAAGAGACAGTTCAAATTCCTGAATTACAGAACTAATTCTTTTGGATAAGTTCAGAATTCATTTTATTAGTTTTAAGTCTAAAATAAGTCCTTCATATCAGCATTGATGTATTACGCTTAACCTCTAAACAGTTACTTAATGAATTTTACAAGAAGCGGTTAAGGTAATTGCTTTGACTTACTACAACCTAGTTAGCAAAAACCTGTTTTTAACATTACGTTAATTTCTTCGAAGCTCTTTGTATGAATGCATTCTTACCTAATATGACATTAATTGCGTAATTATCAAACGACATAACGGTATGTTTCATTGTGACACATTTTTATCATTATGGATTTGCATGATAGAAATATTTAAGGTTTTCATGTTTTTTAATATTAACGTTTGTGCAAAGTAATATGAAAAAAGTACACATTCCGTGGTGATTGAAATAAACTTGCTGTACTAATTAGGTTGGTTCCATGATATGATGGAAACTAAAATGGCATTCAAATCTTTCTATTAAATATTTTTTTTAATTGAAGATATTTGTGTCAAGCGAATCAAAATCGGAGTAGCAGCGTAGTGTATCGGTCTTACCGCTGTAATTGTTTAGTTTTAGTTGTTGGTATTTGAATGATCAATAATCCAGTTCAGAAACATATTCAATTATCTACATGGATTTTATTTTTAAAAGTTGTGCATGTCATGCTTACATTATGAAAGTAATTCAATAATTATTCAAGTAGGTTATGTTGCAGAAACGCGTTGAAATCTTTTGTAGGAGTAATAAGGCAATAAATTAAAAATAGGATAAATAGATTTGAAGATCCACTCTGAACTATAACACGTATCACTAAGGACATTTTTTTCTCCGTTTGACATTATATAAAATTTCAAGAACTCTAACGCAAGTAATTTTTCATGCTTTATTACATCGATTCAAGAATCAAATGATTTTCTTTGATAGTAACTTGTTTGAGTAAATATGTACCATAAATTTTATTAAAATATATTATGAAAGTATTTTTTGTATTCACAATAATTCAAACTTAACATTAGATTCTACGCGTAAAAGACGCAGAGGTCGTTCGACCTTCGTTGACAAAGTCATCTGCGCCCTTCTTATACAGGTGGCATTTCACCTGTAATTACCCTATAAAGGTTCGCGCCCCATACACGTTGTAAAAATATGCGATAATGTAAATGTAAAGTATGCGGGTGACACTGGTGCATCTTGTAACGGTGCGTTCTTATAAGTAATTTGATAAATTATCTATTAGAAAAATGTTTGCCATTACGAAAAAATTCCAGTTAACCATTTTTTTTCCTTTTAAAAATACTCCAGTGCCGTAGATAGGGACGGGATATGTATTTCTTGAGACACTAGAGACAATGCATATGCAGACTCGAAACAACAATTCCTGGACAAATTAATTGCTGAAAATGTGGTTGATGTAAGTACTTGAACAAAGCGAGTGACGCAATTGGAAAAAATCTGTTTGTCGGAAAACTGTGACGGTTTTCATTTTGCTATCGGTATAGCGGTTTAAAATCCGCGCAATCGAAACACGCGCCCAACAGCAAAGCCAATTAGCTCAAATGCGACAATCGAGATCGCGGTGACCAACCCAAATACAAAGCGGCGGGCGACGGCCACCGGAAACGGCGCCATTGTGTCGCAATCATTGACACCTAGCTGCCGACATCATCCGGTCAACTCCTGTCCCGTGCTGCGACTCTAAACTTGACCGTGCACGTACGCCCCCATAACGCGCTATCGGCCCATCGACCATCCTAATGAGGGGATAATTTTCCGCGCGCGTTTCCATTGTTTCACCAAGTACCACAGACATAATCAAGAACGTACCGTACATTTTTCTTCTCATCCCTAATAAACACACCAAGGAATTAATTATGATAAGAATTGATAATTTTGAGTTAACTTTTTAACTGGGAAATAAAATACACGCAAATAATTGAGATCTTTGCGTGTATATTAATTCACATGTATATTTTTATTAACGTATTTAAATTAGGAGGGGAATAAATCGTGTATCCAAATTTTAGCACGTCGACGCGAGAAAAACATTCGATGGAAAGATGCAAAAACTCGACAGTTATTTCAATGATTCACACGTTGTAACTACCCGAAACCGTTAAAAACTAAAGTGCGGCAAACGTCTTGTTCTTATTTACTTTGGCTATTCAAATATTATCATGACGAGCTTGATGCATTCGACAAACAGAACATCGGTCGAAGTGATTGAATGTCAAAAGTACAGCATTTATTTTAAAACATTTAGTAATGTTATTTAAAACAAAATTCATTTTGAGAAAAGTCCTAGATTTGATATACATTTGTTTTTGTCTGAAAGCATTTCTTTTTTAATTATTAATAAACTTAACAAGAGCGTATAGAGCACTTACCTGTGTTGCGCTAGTGTTAAAAGGTTTTAATTTGATCGTGACCGTTGACAAATGACGAGAAAAAATTAAGGATCACGCAACTCCCACATGATCTCAGGTAGATATTTCTTTTATGGCGTGGCCGAGAACTGGATTCTGGGCAAGTGCGAGATCCTTTTTTTTAGCAGGCAAGAGGCCGTTATGGAGGAAGTGATAAATGAAACGTTATATTTGAATTGGAGGGTTACGTTAAAATAAACAAAAAACGCAAGTGTAGTAACACTTGGGGATGGTTAAGAAAAGTAAAATGTGATAAATATGCACAGATTGTCAATGCCAAGAAGATTTTGATATGGAGCATGTTGTGTTGTTTAAGTGTGGTGCAGAAGAGTATACTTGTTAATTTTTAAAGTGATGATGTTACTGTTGTTGGTGCCGTTGTAATTGCTTCACTCACCGATGCAATCCTTATCCTTCTTGGACAACAGAGCAATAGGTCCGTCGTCGAGAGGCGAGCCGGGGCAGAGCGTGTCAGCTTTACTAGCGAGCAACTCCTGCCCCTCCTGCAGCCCCAGTTGCTGCTCGTGCAGCCGCTTCTTGATCAGGAAGATCTTCGGCATCTTGGCGTACTAGCTCACTGCACTCAATCCTTGCAACGCGATCGTTCAGTCCGGACAAATCACCCCGTCCAATAACGATCAACACAAGTTTGCATCATAACACTACACGGTGTGTTCCCCGCGTGCGCGTGGCAGCTAGCGGCACATGCGGTACCGTTGGCCGCTGCGATAGGACTGAGCGGTGCGGTGGGCGCCGGTGTGTGCGACTGCGGAGCGCCGGCGACACCGTTGCCCGGACGGGTCCGCCCGCGCCCGCGCCGCCCGCCCCCGCCCGCCCCTGCGCCCGCGCACCCGCACCCCTGCGCCCCCAACGCCTCTCTGCACGCACGCAGATTCCAGTAAAAGTGCCCGAGCGCAGACGTCCCTACTGTATATACACCATCCAGTCATAATTCCAACAATGCCGCTTTTGTCTCCCTTATCTAAGGATAGCCCGGCCCCTGTCTCTGAACGTACCGGCGCCCTTCAGTTTCGAAATGGACGCGCGCTCTTCGACTTAATTTGATTGGAAAGCTTGCTTCGTCAATATAGAAGGGAGGACATGATTTGTGATTCTCAGAATGGTCTTCCTAAAAACGGTGTCACACGACTCACCGTGTGAATCATACACGCTCAAAATCTCAAACCGATTTGGGGAATTTTACAATATTTATACGCGCGAGTACTTGTATGGAAGCTGTTACACATTGACGATTACGGGTTCAAAAGAACTATAACTTTTCATACGCGAAGCGTCACAAATACATATTTATTCATCATGCATATTCATAACTCATTATTCAGCTAACATCTCAGTCATAGACCTCGTATTGGGTGTCGGCATTCTTTCAATTAGCAAAGAGAATTCAAAAAATAAAAGGACCGAAAATGAGACTGAGTGCAATCAGCGAAGGGTATTTTACAACTACGCAGACGGGGATTTACAAAAACGAAGTTGCTCCCTCAATAAACTTTACGATCTCCATTGTGTCCGCGAATTTTTTTTGTTTAATCTATATTCTTTTGTTTTGAACATTATGGTGCACAGACTAGACCAAGGCGGTGCTTCTTTGAAATTCATATCTGCCTCCTTTTCTTTGACTATAGTGTTACGAGTATTGTTTATAACGGACCATTTTTATACGCGTTAACAAACATTTCTCTCACATGGGGCGAAATGCATTGAAGAACTCAACGTTAAGAAGTATAAATCCTATTATTAATGTATCCGGTGTGGGTTAAGCCATCAATATGCCATTTAGATGCATAAAACATAAACGTTTATATGAAACACCACAACAAACCTGTCCGGGAAGTACAAGATTCCCGATAACAATACCGGCCCTGTTGAATATCGGTTCCTTTGAAAAGGGATTTACTCAACTGAAGGACAGTAACTGGAAATTTTTCATCGGAATTTTTTGAAGTTATTGTCTCTACTTTAGAAGGGAAAGTGAAGAACCTTTGTATATATTTACGTTGCGATAGTTTCCGGATTAATTTTGTATTATCTTTGACGTATCATAAAAAATAAAGGAATGCTGTGTAAAACACAATCATGTCATATGTGCGCAGCAGTATTGGAACAAGTTTTGCAGGATTATTTGTTATTACAACGCCAACGTCACAGATTTTGTCAAGCCAATCTAACCTAGTAACTACTGTGTAAGTTTATAACATAATAAGTATCGTTTTATAATTCTTGAGGTCAAAGTTGGAAATATTATCGGATCTTAAGTCATAGTCGCCACCTATGGACATCTACAGTAGATGCGATTACAGATATTTTAAAATGTGGAGCCCAGCAACCTCATTCTCCAGACAATAATGTTGAACAAAAAAAGACCGACTTCAAACAGGAAACTAAAAACATTGTCAACATCTATAACATTTGAGGATTGCCCTCGATTTCTCTGGGACGCCATCATCAGATCTGTTGGTTTCCTCATGGTACCACTCTTGGGATATCCCCTTTCCAACAAAAAAAAATCATCAAAATCGGTTTATAAATGACGACGTTATCCCCGAAAACACATAAAAAATATTAAAATATATACGGTCGAATTGAGAAACCGACTCCTTTTTTGAAGTCGGTTAAAAAGCAAAAGTAAAATTCTTCCCCTCCACGCTGGTCTTCTGTGAGGCCGTGATACTTCCCCGTACTAGCCGACATTGCCCCGTACTATGCGAGCAGCGGCAGAAACTTTTGTGTGGCTCTACTAAAAATAAAGTTGCCTACAATATTATAGAGAATCTGATAATAGGTTAAAAGCCGTTCCATGCGATTTCATCCGCGAACATTTGCGCTTCGTCCCCGTAGGTCGTAACGTGATATTATATACCCTATTACCTTCCTCAAGAAATGGGCTATCAAGAAAGTAAAATAGTAAAATTTAAAAAAGATTTTTTAAATTTTACTGGGAGTTCCAGAGATTAGCGCGTTAAAACACTCTTCAGCTTCATTATATTAGTACAGATTTAAACAGTGTAACTTACATATACGATATATGTAAGTCTCAAGGCGTTTCAGTACTAAAGGAATCGGACCTAGATGACGTAAATACCACTGTCATCAAATTATTTTTGTCCTTCGTGTTCTATTCATTTATAGAGTTTGATAAAAGTCGTAAAAATATTTTTACTTTTTCTGTCCTGCTGTTTCGCATTAATTTGGATATTTTTCATAAGCCTTGACCCCTTCAAATGAACGTTTAACCAGTCCTCGAATGATTATGTTAGACTTTTTACCATGGCTGAATTAACCTCCGTCCAGGGCATCATAAATCATATTTTTTCTGAAAATAATGCCGCTAACAAGGCTCTAAAGAGCCGACATTTCTTTTTCTCAAAAATGAACAGCAAAACTTTAGCGTGCTACCGAATCCTTCCAGTTTTCTTTTTGTGTTATAAAAACGTGTTATACTTTTATTAGGATTTTATTGCTGCTTTTAAAAATATGGCCGAATTAATTACATAATACATCTCGCAAGATGCGATAGTACATATAGAACAGGAAGAATCATTCCATAGTTCTAGTGGCAGCTTAATTTCTCGCTTACTTTATATTGGTATGTGAAGAAATATTAATTGATACAAACGCCTCATGCGTTTAATTCTTTTGCACAGTGCGTACCTGAAAAAGTCGACTTATGATATTAAATGAAAGTAGACATTTATAAACAAAACATATGAACTTGATTGAATGATTTATGTACTCTTTCGAATCATTCCATTTATTGTTATAGCGGTGATTGCCATTCCCGTGACGCTAATAGTTCGTTACCTCCAATTTCCTCAAACAAATGAATATAACGAGAAGCGACGAATCTTTATGTTTAATTAACTGATGTAATTGCTTTCAGTTCTTAGACTATTAAAGCTTTATCTATCGCAAAACTCGTGGGCTAGCCAGAACCCACGTGCTCGAAGCTACCCTAGTCTTTGGTTAGATTCACGCATGTGCTCATGCGTGCGTTATTTTAGAGAGAAATTTCACCTACGGGCTATCAAGGTTCGGTACGGACCGTGAACCCTATGGCTGTTGTCTGCGTTTAACTGTTCGGTGGCTGGGGGCGGTGAGAACCGCCCTGGAACGCGGGTGTACCTAGTGTACGCGTTATCTTGGTTTCGCCGTGCTCGTGGGCGAGGAAGAACTAAAACACTCATTAATTGTGTGTATAGTAATTACGAACTGGTGGGTAAGTGTAAGGTGGTAAGCGACGAATTTCCGAGGTTCAGGCTTGGCGCCCCGTGCGCCAGGCCACCTCGAGCCCGTCGGAACTGTAAAGGCCCCTAAGGCCAACAGTGGCTCATCCAGCCCAAAAAAAAAATACGACGAATTATGTCCCATCTTTCCACACAGTGGTTACGGTTGCGCAACTAGTTGCGCCGCTCGGTTCCGCGCCGTCGACCGCGCAAGTTGGTGAGCGACGTCGACCTCCGTCAAGTTTAGGCGGCAATGTTGAACGTGTCGGCGCTCCTAATTAGTTAAGGACGGTTTCAATTCTATCTGCAGATAGATTTGGTAGCGATAGGTATTCGACATTATCTCCACAATGGTTACGTCAAAAATGGTTCTATCTCCTGTAACCAAATCTATCTGTAGATAGAATATGAAACGGGTCATTACATGTGCAGCCGCTTCTGTCGCTTTTTAAAAAGGCCAATCTGCCATTATCCAGTGCCTAGAAATTTATCCACAATTTTAGTATTAACTATGACATCAGGGGAAGTCTGTTTTTTCTTGACTTGATATTCGAAAGAAAAAAGTTAAAGAAACATGAAATGTCCATAGTTTGGTATCCTTACTAATATTATAAAGGCGAAAGTTTGCATGTATGGATGGATGTTTGTTACTCTTACACGCAAATACTTCTAAACGGATTTTAATGAAACTTTACAATAATATAGATCAGAATAAGACATAGGCTATAATTAATATACATATTTTATGTATCTGTCTTTCTGTCTGAATCTTAAGCCTTCAGCCTATTCTACGTAGACGTAGTCACGGGCAGCAGCTAGTAATTGAATATTTAATGGTAGTGGTTATTTTGTGTAGACATCATGTTATATTCAATGAAACTAATTGTGATGAAGAATAAAACCTAATATACAGAGTATAACTTATTTATCTCATAGTCCACACGTCATATCCCATCCCAAAGACGTTGGATAGTAGTAGGCGAGTACTTAAGCCAATTAGGTAGCATTAAGCCTTATTGCAATTGGCACATCATGTTTCAAAATAATCAGACCTTCAATATGGAAATCGCATAATTTGGAAAATTGGTTTGACCCATTTATGGTTAAAGCCTAATAAAGAAATATGAAAAAAAAAAACAATATGAATAAAGCAGAATTAAGACGAAAATTAACGAAAAAAAGAGTTTTAAAAAAGATAATATTTAAGTTCTTATCCAGGTATAAATATTTCCATTCTCAAAAATGTCTTATGGGATGCACAAAACAGATATCAAAAATACTTTTCTAGCTGTTGGATATACATGTGCATTCTTGATTATAACAACTTTTTGAATATATTAATTTTATCGTAAATTGCGATAAAACGATGTCTCTATATTTCATTCATCCTAATAAAATGGCATCTTTTTATACCGAATTATATATTCATAATCTTTATGGCCGGTAACCTTAAATTGATTGTGATGTATGCAAATAGACGATGGATAAGTATGAAGCTAGAAACAAAAACAAACTATAACTTATTTACCAAGTAGGACGATATAGCGTTTCTATGGAACGCTTGTGACATCTGTCAATCAACATAAGCACTGTTTCGTCGAACTGAGAGGCCAGGTGCTATTGTTTAATAAGGCTAAGTAGAATCTTTCTAATATATTAGAAATATTTGTATCTATTTCTAGACATAGAATAAATGTACGTTGTTTGGTAATTAATATAAAGTTTACCAAATCTTGTATCAAGTTGTTCTAAAAGTGTTGCATAGTATCTGTTAGAAGATTTTGACAATTTACGTGTAACGCAAATACATTTACCTGCTTGTTGTGATGATTTAACGCTAGCTAATTTAAACTGATGATAGCAAATCCATTAAGAACTAAGCCTACTATAAATAAAGGCGAAAAGGTCATCGGCCTGTTTCCCATTTTATCTTGTTCGCTGACCAGTTTTATCTTAATCAACTTTCAAGTTTTTAACTTCAAATTATCTCCCACGCATCCGCAACGCCGACGTTGTTTCGGTTCACAGAAGAATTCATTAAATAGAGGCACACACGACTCATGCCGCCCAAAGCCCGCCGCCTCATCCACGAATGCATCAAATGTCTCCGATAGAGATCGCCGTGCAACGGTACACTTTATGCATTCGAGATGATTGCGTCCAAGCACGCGCAATATAACAACATGAGGGAATAAATTGCAATGCTATTAATGGTGCGGACCGGTCCGATGATGGCATTGCTTCAGGTCAATCGTATCATTCAATTGCCCGCACGAGTCTTCCTCTATTAGGTGCAGCGTTACGCTTGTTAATGCTGTGTGTTATAAGCGACGATGTTGGACGGTACGTAATCGTTGTGATTTTATTTTATTTTGAGCGATGTCAACCGATTTACTTTTTGTATAAAATCGCGGTGCTTAGCGTTTTTCGTTTTATCTTAAACTAGTGACCCGCCCCTTCCTCTTGAATCACTCTATCTGGTAAAAATCGCATCAAGATCCGTTGCGTAGTTTGAAACAACTAAGCATACATAGGGAGGACAGAGAGACAGCGGGATGACTTTGTTTTATACTATGTAGTGACGTTAGCAAACGAGCAGGCGATTCATCTACAACACTGGCCAGTTGCAGTCTCAGATGCGTTGCCAACATTAAAACAGTGGCCCCGTGTACCTCATTCACCAGAAGCGTGAAAGGATAATACTGTAACTTCACGCCGGTATTCTGTGAGGTTGTGGTACTTCTCTGATAGTGCTAGCTTAACTAGCTGCAGCCCGCGACTACGTCTGCGTAGAATAGGTTGAAGGCGTAACATTCAGACAGAAAGATAGATATAAATAAAACATGTATATAAATTATAGTCTTCGTCTTATTCTGATGTATAAGCTATGTTATTGTAAAGTTTCATTAAAATCCATTCAGTACTATTTGCGTGAAAGAGTTACAAACATCCATTCATACATACAAACTTTCGCCTTTATAATATATAATATCGGATACATCTTTTCCACAACGTTCTCTAGTCCCAAACTAAGCAAAGATTGTACTATGGGTACTAGATAAACTGATATACATACCTAAACATACTTTTCTTTTGTAAACACATGTTGTACATAAATAAACACCCAGATAATGGAAAAACACGATGTTCATCACATAATATTTTTCCAGTAGTGGGGATCAAACCCACACCCTCTGGCGTAAGAGGCAGGGTCACTACTCCCCACGCCAATCGATCGTCAGCGAGGATATAACATTAGTAAGGATATAAGTAAGGATTCGATCGTTAATAAGAAGGCACAAACACGTCCTCCGAATCTAGAGGTATAGGCACACATTGTTTCCACGTCAGCTTCGTCGGCAATGATTCGCTTAAGAGCTCTCCATGCGCAAGTTTTACGATCTGAACACGATATGACAATATTGGGGATTATATTTAGCTAATCATTTAAACCACTATGATTAATTATTTTAATTTATTGCAGCTTGGCCTTGTATAGCGATGAATATTCAACAACCGCAAACAGTTCTTTGAACTTCTTATGATGATGAATTCAAAATAGATTTAACTTACGTAATACTGTTTCAGCATACAATCACTTGAACAAGTGTCTCAAAATGATAAATATATATCTTATCTCGTTCATTCATTCTCAATCGTCGTGGATCTGATGATGCTACATTTTAACAGTAATAATGAACCGTAATTGTACTGTTGATAATTCGACCTGTTTGTGACTCCTATTTCAAAATTGATTTACATTATAGTGAAAGTCAGTTAAAATGAAGTAAAATGTAAAATGTTGCCATGAAAACGATTTTTTAATTACCTTATTTTATTAACATTTAAATACTATGCAGTTAATTAGATATGAAAAGGAAAGAGTCCGTGAAACACTAATTTGTATCATAATAGATATATCAATATAGCGTCAAGAGGCACAGTCTAAGGTTTTAGACGTGCCCTCGTCAAGTAACATTCAGTAGGCGAAGTTGCTGTCATCAAGACGTCATCATCAGTTGTTAAATAGACATCGATGTCAAGGGTTATCAATGATGGTATACCTAATTTCATCTTGTTAATATAAGAGCTTATACGACCCATACATAACGAACGTCGAAGGAACTTTGTCACTGCTACGCTGCTGCGAATACGTTTCACTCCCAGCTTTTGCGTAAGCCCGAATAATTTGTGTAGAAGCTATCCGAAACGGTGCGCGCGTCGCCCCACGGAATGCCGAAACGTGCGCGCGCGATTAGGAAATCACGCTGTGTATGTGAATTGGCCGTCTGAAAATTCTCAGGCGTCCGTCGTGTGTTTGTGCCCGTACCGGTTGTCAAAAGGCTGCGCTGGTGCGGGCGGGGGAGGGGGAGAGCCGGGGGGGAGGGGGCAGTGCGCGGCCGGGTACAGCGACCGCTTTAGCGCCGCCGCCCAGCCACCATTGCCAAGATCACGGCTCGCGCATGCGCGGCGAATGTCAGCCACGTCACGAGCGAAGGCCCCTCGCCTTCGTACGCACGAGCATTAAAACAACGATAATAAGTTAAAATGTTAAGTGTAACCCGAATGAAGGGAAGCGAATTCAAGCCCGTGCTAGCCAAGCTCTGCATTCAAGCCTTTAAGTTCACGGACTGAAGCAAGAGCATCGGTTGTGTATAAGAAATTAAATAAAACCATCGCGTTCGAGCGAAAACTCAACGTTTGGGGACGAGGACATAAATCGGAGTTTATGCCGTACTTAATGTTTCTTTTATTACCGGTCGCTGTAAAGAGTTGTGGAACATCCGGAGGACAGGTTCGCTTAACGAGAACGAAATAATATTAAATAATCCAAGCTTAATTGTAATAGAGTGGGAAGTGGATATTCAACTCGAGTGTGTAATCTGAAAATAGAGAATTTATGCAATCGTCAGTTGATAGAAAGAAAAATAATTAATCTGAAGGTCCAGAGAAGTTTGGCGGTTGTCTTAAAACGTACATTAGACTATCAATAATAATGCAAGCCATTTCATCGCGACAATGGAAAAGTATACTGTAAGAATGACGTATGAACGCAGTCCGGCGCGTATTATAACATTTGTTTACCAATCACGCACTCGTGCCGTTCCCCAAACGAGTTGCTATTATGCAATCAGCTCACATAAATACGAGTGTTTTTTGCCCGAACACCCCCACGGTAAATAACGCTGCCCCGACGAGTTCTGGCTCGCCCGTCGCGTAAGTATAATAGCCCTTGCCCTATCTTTATATGGGCCGAGCCGTAGCCTCCCGCGATCCTCATTCAATTCACGTAAGGTAGCGGCTCTAAGGACCGGGTTTTTGTAATGGCGCAACAGGTAGAGAGGAAAGGATTGCGAGCACGCCGCGAGCGGGACGGCACGATACCATCTTCAGAGGCCGTCTCGCTCGGCGCCCGACGGGCGAGGCGGCGCGGGCGCAGGAATGCCGTACGATTTGTGCCTCGCTCACTGCGGACGCTCTGCACTTAGATATAGCTACGTGCAGCTACGTATAGCTACGGGTTAGCATAACCAACACACACTGCCCTAATGCGTATGGGTCATATAGCGGGATTCTCAGTTTAGCCAGTGAAATTATATTGAAAGGGAGTCTGATCATTTTTGTCCATTTTTAGATGCATTGTTATCACTTTTATCGCACCGAGAGTGTATTGATTTTTTTTTCTATTATTAATTTATTATTGCCAATTTCAAAAGGGATAGCGGAGCTTAATTTATATTGAAATAATATTAACAAATTTTTTAAAGCATGTAATTTTTTTTGATATATTTGCTATATGATATTTCCTATAAGTTAGGGTTCACGTAATTATAAGAGTTTAATATGTGTCATTCTAATTCAATCAATAATCTTTTTTTATTATAAGAATTTTGCTAGTATGATTATTGTATTTCACAATATTGAGATTCCACTGTTATAATTTAGATCATGGACCTTACCGCCGCCTACTGTGACGCCGTGTATGTTAAACACTTGGCAAAGCCAAACAATTTTTCATAACATATCGATAAAATTATTTATACGTGCCGATTCTTTTAAGTTGTGATCTACACAAATTATATACAATCACAATACACAAGGGGATGCCTTACTAAAGATAATGCTAGTAATGATAAAATGTAAACCAATTAACAAATACTTAAACTTTTCACCATTTTTTAATTCATCAAGAGCTTTTTGGAATTCCGTAATAAGTAGTGATGAGGATAAGAAATAGGACACATTCTAAACTAGAAACTGATTATTGTTATATTAGTCTACATTTAAAGTAAACAAAAAGTAAGTCCTGTAAACACACGTCAAACATTTTATTTAAGAGGGATTTTAGTTGTGACTACCAATTCTTTTTCGTGTTTTTCAAGTTATAGAAATGTTTAATATTTTTTTGTAGTACGAGTATTATATTTTACGACTTTGATTTCTAGAAAAGTTTATGCGAAAAGTAGATATTATGAACGGATCTAATGTAATTAATTAGAGAAGAACTTATTTAAATATTTTAATTATTTGTTATTATATGATTTAATTTTTTAAATGTTTTTTTTTTAGATTTTGCCCTGATTGCTACATGGGTTCGTTCAATTGGCCTCGGATGTCGCATTCTGATACATTTGCAACGTAATTATTAAACCTTATATTTAGCTTTAACTAAGAATCAGTTTTGCGCCATGCTCATCTAGAAGTTATCGTTTGAAAGATCGTCAAATGAAATGTTGCCCCGTTGCTGGAGATAGGAGATACGGTCTGATACACTGCAGCTCACTGTTGTGTGGATTTTTCTCATCAAATTTCCGCTAAACTATCTGGAAAAATAGCAGATGTTGTGCAAAACACAAAGACGTTCTCATATCAGAAAAGGCTTTGTTCGCACACGTTAATTGATACAAACTGTTGAATCAATTCACGTTGTTTCTGACGTCATTGGAAGGCGTGGATTGTCTGTAGGACCATAAGTGTGTATGAACTTATCAAATGAATATTTAAAACTTGACGGGATTCCTGGGTTAACTTAACCGTTTTGAACAAACTTTATTTAGACTACATTTCGTACCTCAATGTAATGTAAAAATACAAATGTAAAAATACAAATTGCTGAATTACTTTTAAATCTCGTCTATGTAATGCTGTTCATATTTGCAGGTAAGCTGTGATTTTACAGATTTTAGTGATGATCACCAACTTTCGACGGAAAATATCGCCATTATGAGGTTCTTACAGGGAGCATTTTGATCTCTTTGCTGAGGCCAGCGGCGTCCTTTGTTCGAATAGACCCCGGGAATCCGCTTAGCGAGCGGTTCGCCATATTCACATGATAGATTGGGAGTGCGCTCTGTGCCGTTCGTGTTTCTTGAGTAAACAAGACGCCGAGTCGCCGGTCACATAAAAAGTTTCCTCCGAGATCCGGTCACACTGGTCCGTAAGATCGACGACCTCCGTTCGCCGTTTGACTTAATGGAAATTGCTTTTCTTGCTTCGGCGCGCTGTTTGTGGGATTGTTTTTTTTTTAATCGACAACCGCGCGTCCCGTCCGATTGGCTTCCCCTATCCGTCTCGTTCGGAATTCAAACGTTCATCCGCTGTTATATTTTTTTCTCAATAATATATGGACATATTAGCTATCAACAAATCATCAGATATTCGTTTATTGATGAAAAACGAAAAAAAGTTAATGGGGAATGTAAATATATTTTCGCTTGAACAAAACCCAACTCTGATCAGTGAACTCTGATCAGTCAAACACTATGATGCGATATAAGCGTTTTGTATTGCCATTCTGCTTCCACTAATGCAGCCTATGAAAACCGGAATATTCGATGGCTACAGACAAACACTCCAACTTCAATCGTGTGTAGAGTTGCACCTGGTTACTTCAGGCGGCTATAGCTTTTAATGGCGTGTGATTAAGAGCGATATTTCCGTTCGTTCGCGGAGTTGCGAAGCTCGCAGCACTTACATCAGTGGTGATAACGTTACGCGTCTTACGACCGGTTACGTGGCAAGTCGAGGTCTACGTATAGCTCGCGCTCCGTTTGGCCCGTTTTTGTTTCCAACCGGTCCTCATATATATTTATATTACAATATACTTAACTGTGTAGACAAATATTTTATTATATCAAATATTTACAGCATTAACCTTTGAGCGAGAAAGGAACTAGCCCTCTTGTCACCAGCCGCGGCGCTAAGTCTAGAAACCTTTCGAAACTTTCGGATGTACGGAAATATATTTAAATTTATTAATTATATAGTAATATATCATAAAAATGTATGTGTGGTTATTTCGAGGTATGTTTCGGCTTTCGAAGGGCAAGATTTTAAAGAAACGAGCTCTAAAGGCGTGTGAGGTGCTTAATTATAAGTATGAATGATGTTTGGTGATGATGATGATGATGATGTTTATGTACAGTTTTTCAAAATAAGTCTCACTTTTTCTTCTTGTCTTATTGACAATAATGCTGTAGATTCGCATGAACAATAATTATTCCAAATCGTATTGAGTAAAGTTTGTACATTAGATTTATTTAGTATTTTTAATAGGTTTATTATTAAAGTGGTAACAATTTGTACACATTTAACTAAACGTGAAATTATTATTATTTCCGTAATATTTAAAAACGAGGAATGTGAGACGTGGTAATTTATTAATTATTACTTATATTAATGTTAAGTAATAAATGGTTTTGTTAGATATTTTTTCCATTTTAATGACTTACCTACTTACTAATTATGTAATGATAAAAATGACGCAATTCAGTTATTTTTTAATTTTAATTTAATTACTGTGACAGATCACCTGTTTATTATTATGTGAAGGCCAAGTTTTTAAATAGTATAATGATGAGCAAAGACAAAAAGAGTATTCGTCTTGCTGTAAACATAAATGTGTACGTTTTTATTAAATACTGTTTAATTTTAATTAAAATAATAATTATTATCTCCGTCGTCTGAATAAATGAATAAATACATCAGTAGTTGACGGACAATAACAGGAAACTTTCCCGCAAAAAGCCCATAGCAATCGATTCGTTAACATGACACTAACACCGTCATTTCTTGTCCAATATATTGGGGTTTGACGGCTCGATTATTTAGTCAGCCTAGCTCATTGACAGTGACGCGTGCACCGGCTTTGGTGCAGTAGCTCTGCTAAACTTGGCCCCAGACGTGGATTACAAGTTCACCGTGGTACGGCATAAGCGTTACAAAACCGGCTGTGTTGCAATGCAAGACAGTGTTAGCGGTCGCGCTCGACGGTGCAGCACGATCTAGCGTTCCGCTCTGCGCCGAAGCCCCCGTCCCCTGGCCCCTTCTGCCCCCTTCTGACGCCTCACCCCCTTCCCCTCAGCTCGGCGCCGGCCCTGACCGAGACACGGAGTAGCCTTAGCGAATATTACGGATTTATCTTTTTATCATCGCGCATCGGAGCGGCCGGTGAGTCAGTACCGGCGGGCCGAACGGGAATCCGAGACGGGCGTCCTGTCCGATGCTACGGGGATCGTCTGGCGTTATGGTATTCTCGGATCGTCAATATCAGCATGAGCTTGGTGTTGGGTTTTTTATTAACGATCCTAACGTAACAACTGAGCTGTGATTGGCAACTATTGAAGTGTTTTGGGTGCGGGCCCTTCTTTCTATTGAATCGGATTCAGATGTTTTGTCACGAGGTAATGCGAAAGTTAACAACAACAGTAAACAGTTGTTCATATGCCCCATCTATATCTTTGGCTTAATATTTTAGATCGAGGTGACTGGCCGTACAAATTTAAAGCACAAATCATGTGACTTGACTACTGACTAATCTATGAAACTATCCAATGTTTGCATTTAGAATGTAATATGGAAAGCATGTAGACGGATATGATACACAAAACATAGTACTAAAGATGAAAAAGTGAGCAGATGATGAAGTGAAGGCATTGAATGACGGCTCCAATGCGCTTGTACTGCACCTACCAATATACATTTTTAAAACTCAATTACCATAATGGAATTCTCGCGTTAAGGTGGTCCTTTTCAATGATACAAAAGTCTTTTTCCGACCCGAATCAAACTGCCACCTCAGTTATTATGCAAATGTGGACCTGATGGAAGTAGTGCAGTCATTAGAGATCGTTAGCGGCAGCAGCAGACCTTAGACAGAGTTTATTCCACTTCCTTGCTGTACACATTATTGATAGAGCGAACCTTTCATTCCGAATGCAGAGAACGTCAACAAAAAAAAAGGATGGAGGCCAACTGAGCGCCTTGTAGTCCGAAGGTCGAAGGGGTGGATGGATGTATACAATTCCCGCGTGCACTCTTCTAAATGTAGGATACAAGAATAACGAGAGACTGCGCCTTCGACCGAGATCGAGTAGATTTCCCACTAAATTATGATTCGGATAACTCTCTTCGCTCGAAATGGTTAAATAGAACTAGAAAAATTAATTTAATGGACATATAGTGCCTAATATCTAAGCATCGAACTTTTGTTGAAAGCAGTGAATATGCTAACTAGTTTATTAGATTGTTCGTTGAGAACAATATTAAGGTGAATAAATCAGAGGCCGTCCTTTAAACGCTTAGAATCTCATAAACATTGATTACGTCTTAAAATTCTTTCGAGAGACCTATAACTGCTATGATGCAGTTACTTCCATTTGCGTCAATCTTTATGAATAATATACACATAATAATGATTTCGTCGCTTTGACGAAAGGTTGATCTTTCGTTGCCTTTCCACCTTTATTAAGAATATAAGTGGGAAATTATTTGCGACAAGGACTGTGTAAAAATTAGAACTTCGAAGCGCGCTGAGTGAGATGGCATAATCAGGGAGTTGGCACGATTTGCAGGTGTCTTGATAATTGCAAGGACAATTTGTTGCGAATTTTGAAAATGTGCGCCTCAGTTGATTGCCGCCCTCGTGATTAGGACGCGACATTAAATACATGTGCACCTGCTTTCCGTCCATTACCAGATTTGCGAAAGTTATGACTTAGTTCAGCCCGCACCTGCTTTTGCAGGCAAATGTTTTGTTACGAAAATAAATTACGTAATAATGAAAATACATCGTGTATTTTCATTATTACGTAATTTATTTACTAAGCTGTTTGACGAAGATAGCCAGTTATTTATTTTTATTTTACGTATAATTACTTTACATGTTTTAAATATAGTGCTTTTACATGAGGGCATTTACGATAAATTTTTACGAATAGATTTTAAATCGTCCAAATTGTGATGAATGAGTAACATCACTATTTTTGTTTTTTGTATTAAAATTTTTGATTAATCTTTTTTATTAACCATTCTAATTACCTATTTTGCTTGTGGCAATTCCTCAAAATCAATGAAAAATATCCATTGCTAACATTTTATTCCAAATTAATAAAGCGGGAAATAAATCTAATGCTAATATACGTAACAGTTATGCATTAAGCCATATATTGTATTAGTCGAGCGTTTTAGAAATATTCATTTTAAGTTACTTAATATCGATAGCATTGCAGTAACATTTTATATTTTAATTTTATTTATTAAAATTCAATAACCCTAATAGTTACAAATTACTAAAGCTATAAAATAAGCTGAAGACTTTGTACATATGTCACTGCTGTTAAGTCATTTAGCATAATCTAGATGAAACTTTAATAGTCCACGGAATAAAAGCAAAATGTTAGTTAAAGTAAATGCACGTAGGTCGGATGATTTAAAATGGATACCCACGCTGCAACTTCTGCTGTGTTTGCAATAAACCTGCATGGTGAAATGGCACTATCAATGGCGACGGTAATCAGTTTCCATCAGGTGAACCGCTTTATGACGGTCTGTGGAAGAGGTTTATGATAAGCCAATGGATTTAAACAGGCTGAACATTCCTTCCTCATTAGCCCGGTAAATGAAACAAATCTTATCACGTATTTTTATTAGAGACTAAGGTCAAGATTTATGTTTCACGATGTACTGTTTCAATTTGTACTACAATGTTTCGATTTGATTATTTTATTGGCTTCAACTCACTGCCATGGTTTATTACAATCAAGGGTAAATAGTGGATATCTCCACTGTTATTTTATGCCCGCTTAATTGAGGTGGATGATGGCTTAGATTGCAGTGTTGGCTCATTAAAACTCCGTGTGCTTCTGTAATACACAATGTTGGTTTTGATACTAAGTATCGAGTCCGTTTCATAGGATCTCTCAATAAATAGTTACGCAGTTAACTGTTTTAGTTAACTGCTTATCTTACTAACAGCATTGGATTCTTTGTTTTTAATATATATCAGGAGTGGCGAACAAAAAACTATGTTCATTTAAAGAACGCCATTTCTTATTTTTAGCAAGAAATAAATTGTTTTCGTTTAAAAACAGGAAATTTCGTCTATTTTTAACCGACTTCCAAAAAGAAGGTTTCTCAATTCGACCGTATACATATTTTTTTTTATGTGTGTTCATGGATAACTTCGTCGCTTATGAACCGATTTTGATGATACTTTTTTGTCGGAAAGGAGATATCCCAAGGGTGATAAGGAAACCCGGATCTGATGATGGCATCCCAGAGAAATCGAGGGCCATCATTGTGAAAGTTATGGTATGAACAATGTTTTTAATTTTCTGATTGAAGTCGGTTTTTTTTGTTAAAAATTATACTTGTTAAGGTGCAGACTATTTTGTAACATGTTTAACATGTTTAAATTGTAGTAAACAATATATATACTGTGTTATAACGTTTCACAAATATAATTTGTATTAATGTATGAAGTGTTTAATATACACTGTTATAGGTAAATATAGTCTTTTCGATGAACTCTGTTTCTTGTAGTGGTTTGCATAAGAAATGGTACCTTAATAATCAAATCAAATTCTGTCTCCCACCGTCGAGGTAACTCTTTTACATTTGGGACACTAGACACGGGTCCTTTGGACAGCATTAAAGTTTTCCTTCGCAATTAGTATGTGCGTACGTCAGGTGTGGCGAATGGGCTGGGAGTTCACGCGGTTGGCGGTGACAAAGAGTATGCATATTCATGTTTTGAGTCCCCTTTATAACGTCGCGGCTAATGTAGCGCCGACGGTGACACGGTTTCGTTGTTGGTCCATTCGAGATGCTAATTTGTGTACGTACATACATACGTGCGGGCAGCGTTTGTGCGAACTTTGAGCGATGGCCGTGTCGCCGACTGAGATGTACTGGTTACCCGTCTTCGGGGTCAATGTTTCGCTTCGTATTATTTCGACAGTCAACAGAAAACTAGGCTTAACGCCGCGGCTGGTGACAAGAGTGCTGGTTCTTTTCTCTCTCACGGGTTAAGATCACTATTCGACGATGAAATGCAGCTAGCGTACTTGGCACCATGCCGCGTGGACTAGGTTTATTAGATAATATGTGACTAAAATAAATTTACGCCGGATTCTGAAACACTGGTCATCGTAGAAGTCAACTAATTAACTGTTAAATGGCTTTCCAAGTCCTTACTAATATTATAAAGGCGAAAGTTTGTATGTATGAATGGAAGTTTGTTTCTCTTTCACGCAAATACTACTTAAACATCAGAATAAGACAAAGGCTATAATTAATATACATATTGTATATATATCAGTATTTCTGTATGAATGTTACGCCTTCAGCATATTATACGCAGACGGAGTCGCGGGCAGCAGCCAGTGTTATTTAATTTGACAAAAGGATGGTTAAACTCTTTGAATTGATCATTCTGATCATTAAGAACCTTTGGGGAAATTAAACAACATTTGAAAAGCTATTTGACAGCTGATTCGTTGACTTCTACGATTATCAGATTTTTTTTAATGTGAAAAGTTGCCAAACGAGCAGATAGTTCACCTGATGGTAAGTGACTACCGCCGCCCATGGACATCTGCTACACCCGAGGGTTACAGATGTGTTGACAACCTGTTGAAAATTGGGCTCCGGCTACCTCACTCACCAGACGAAACGCGAAAGTATTTGTCATACTTCCACTTTACGCTGGTCTTCTGTGAGGTCGTGGTACTTACCCGAACGGGCCTGCCCATTTGTGCAACAGCCGAGGCTGCTGCGTGGCCCTACCACCGTAAAAGAATAACCGTAAAAGAAGTGTTTCAGAAACCGAGCGTTAATGTTGTAAATTTTGGATAAATAAATTGTATTTTTTGTTTCCAACCTAAATTAAATATATCGCTTAGTTCTGCAACAGTGATTTAACATCTTTAAGTAGAATAGAGCATAAAAATACAATACTTTCTAATGCATTGTGTTTTTAAGATGACGATCATTAGAAAATAAGTATTATAAGTTGCAACTTAATATAATTTTATCTTTTTTTTTTACTATGGAGACCTACCCTTAAGTCAGCTTATGATCGTGGGGCCATCAAGTAACAGGGTTTCAAGTATA